ATACGATTGTCAGGATAAACATCCATTGATGCGTTGCATGGTAGCATAACGTAAAAACCGCCCTCGCCCATGATGCAGATTTTTCACAAATGATACTTATGATATCCACGCTGCTACTTTAAGGGATTCTGTATGTCCGCGATCTCCCGTTCTGGCAACCATGAGGAAAATTTAGGTGGCCATCCCAACCATTTGACAAGACATAGCACCTCGCGGCCTCTCTTTTTTCGATCTAAAATCTTTTCTATTTTAAACGACTTATCTTGATTCACAATAATTTTTTGTAATTATTTTTCATAAAAACATCCGTCGATAACATCCCCATCGTAATCTTGTAATCTGTACACAGGTGGTGTCCGAGGTATACACGCGGCTATAGTGAAATACTCTTCGGAGTAATTCTGTTCATAGCCCTTAGAATACACGTTTCTAACTTTAGATACTCTAACCACATCACCTATTTTATACCTAAAGACAGTTGGGCCTTTATGCAGCTTTCCGTACAAATTATTAAACACAAATCTTAATTTTCTTTATGAACGTCCAAAGGCCGCATTTTAATGCTTTTGTGACAACTTGCGTTATACCCGTCTATAAGATCTTGTAAGATATCGTAGTAACGCTTTGAATTGATGACTGTTAAAAATCTAGCCATTCTTGATCGAAGAGTCCGGTTAAAGCATTCAACTACGGATGCTTTTACATCACTTGCTGTAAAGAAATGATGTATGTTATACTTTTTCATCAGTTGCTGAAATGTTTGTTAAAAAATTCAGTGCCTTTATCAGACTGTAATTTTTGCGGTACGCGGTTTTCTTTGAGTATAGATGCGAACGCTTTCGCAACCTCCGGCCCTGTCTTATTCTTCAGCGGGCGTGCCCAAGCATACTTGCTGAAAACGTCTATACATGTTAGTAAAAATTTTATATCATCGTTTTCTTTCGAATAAGCGGTCATGTCAACCAGATCTTCTTGAAACTGTACATCTTTCCCATACACCACCACTCTATTCCGCTTGTATATGACAGGTGCGGTTCTGTGTAATGTATAAGTATCCTGAGAGGATAACCAATCTGCCACTTCTTTATCTTTCAGAGTTACCCCGTATTCCTTTAGCACACACCGTTTTAATCGTTCTTTACCCCCTAAAGATCCAGGGTTTGATGGGTTGTAATACACTTTTTTCAATAATTCAGACATCTCACCCCCGCTGTTTTTCAGAAAATAATGACAGAGTGATTAGCGTCAAAAGGTTTTTATTTGCAATAGAGGCCACACAAACGTTAAATATGATTGGTTATACAATAACTAATTATATATCATCTAGATATCGAAGGAATTTCACACACATTACAAAATACTTCTCTATCATGTATTCAACTAACATGTCAATAATTTTACATACATCCAACGGATCGTTTCTTGACAACAACAGGCCCTGTCTTATTCTTCAGCGGGCGTGCCCAAGCATACTTGCTGAAAACGTCTATACATGTTAGTAAAAATTTTATATCATCGTTTTCTTTCGAATAAGCGGTCATGTCAACCAGATCTTCTTGAAACTGTACATCTTTCCCATACACCACCACTCTATTCTGCTTGTATATGACAGGTGCGGTTCTGTGTAATGTATAAGTATCCTGAGAGGATAACCAATCTGCCACTTCTTTATCTTTCAGAGTTACCCCGTATTCCTTTAGCACACACCGTTTTAATCGTTCTTTACCCCCTAAAGATCCAGGGTTTGATGGGTTGTAATACACTTTTTTCAATAATTCAGACATCTCACCCCCGCTGTTTTTCAGAAAATAATGACAGAGTGATTAGCGTCAAAAGGTTTTTATTTGCAATAGAGGCCACACAAACGTTAAATATGATTGGTTATACAATAACTGATTATATATCATCTAGATATCGAAGGAATTTCACACACATTACAAAATACTTCTCTATCATGTATTCAACTAACATGTCAATAATTTTACATACATCCAACGGCTCGTTTCTTGACATTACACACACATCGGTTACATAAGTACAGAGACATAAAATGTTACCTATTTTAAGACTT